GGTTATCACTTACCTTTCAGGAGTAACCGTGGCAAAGCTCCAACTCGCTACTCTCCTGAAGAAGCAGGGAAGAAATCCAAGTACCCAATTTCTAATCATATGACAACAAACGGCTGGTCTGATCCTCTTATAAAATTTGTGCAAAAGCTGTCTTCAGATCATATTCCTTGCGGAGTCCATGAAGCCTTAGCAGATCACAAATAGTCAGTAGCAATACAGGAGGAAATGGAAGCTTTGAATCGGAATAGAACTTGGGATCTTGTCCCACCGCCGGTTGGAAAAAAAAACAGTGGGGTGTAAGTGGGTATTCTCAATTAAACACAAAGCAGATGGATCCATTGAAAGATACAAGGCAACGTTAGTGGCTAAGGGATATACTCAGACATACAGCATAGACTATCAGGAGACATTTTCTTTGGTAGCGAAGCTAAATACCGTGAGGGTGTTGTTATTTGTGGCTGCAAATCTAGATTGGCTCCTAAACCAATTTGACGTGAAGAACGCCTTTCTTCACAGAGATCTTAAAGAAGAAGTATATATGGATATCCCACCAGGCTATATGTCATCCTTCACAGGAATTGTCTGGAGGTTACAAAAGGCATTGATGGACTGAAACAATCATCGCGTGCATGGTTTGGTCGCTTTAGCATAGCTATGAGAAAGTATGGTTTTCAACAAAGCAACTCAGATCATACTCTCTTTCTAAAATGACGACAAGGAAAAATAAATGTCTTGATAATCTATGTCGATGACATGATAATCACAGGAGATGATTCAAAAGAAATTTATAGACTGGAGAAACATTTGGCCATGGAATTTGAAATGAAGAACTTGGGTGGACTCAAATATTTTCTTGGAATAGAAGTGGCTAGATCAAAGCAAGGCATCTTTCTATCACAATGAAAGTATGTACTTGATCTACTAGCCAAAGTTGGAATGCTCGACTGCAAGCCAGCGAATACTCCAACAATTCAGAATTAGAAACTTGGGGAGTATCTTGATCAAACCCCAACCAACAAAGAGAGGTATCAACAACTGGTGGGTAAGCTAATTTATTTATTTCATACTCGTTTAGATATTTCATACGCGGTGAGCGTGGTCAGTCAATTTATGCATTGCCCTAGTAAAGATAACATGGATGTGGTTGTTCGAATTCTTCGATACTTGAAATCAGCTCCGGGAAAGGGGATTATGTTCTCTAAGAATGATCACCTATATGTTGAAGACTATACAGATGCAGACTAGACAGGAAACTTGGTCGACAGAAAATCCACATCAAGATACTTCACATTCATCGGAGGCAACTTGGTTACGTGGAGGAGTAAGAAACAAAAGGTGGTATCTCTATCAAGTGCGGAAGCCGAGTTTAGAGGTATGGCAAAGGGGCTTTGTGAGCTTTTGTGGCTCAGACGCCTACTCTCAAAAATTGGCTTTGCACCCAATTCAGAAATGAATTTATATTGCGATAATAAAGCAGCGATAGAAATATCTCAGAACCCAATCCAACATGACAGAACAAAGCATTTTGAAATAGACCGGTATTTTATTAAACAGAATCTTGAAGAAAAGGTAATTCGCTTTCTGTTCGTTAGATCAGAGGATCAACTTGCGAACATGCTTACAAAAGTCGTCTCAAACAAAAACTTTCACAGCTCACTTGACATTTGTACAAAGACATTTGTACACCAACTTGAGGAGGAGTGTTGGCATGAGCTGTACAAACCGAGAGACAATAGGAAATTATAGCTGTAATAGTCACGTTTATCTTCTATTTATGTAAATCCTGATTGTCATGGGATCGTAATTGTTTCCTTTCCAAATACAACTAGGAAGGCTGTACATTGTGATGTATATATCCCTTGTTTTTGCAATAAGAAAAAACAACTGAATTCTACAGAAACCCAACTCAAATTAACAAGGTCTACCTTTTGTAGAAGGCTTTCTATGGGCTTGGGCTGAAGCAAGCTCCTAGAGCTTGGTACAGCTGGATTTATGACCATTTGCTAAATTTAGGCTTTGTAAAAAGTTTATCCAAGGACACTTTGTATGTCAAACTAAAGGACAATGATGTTCTTATATTATCTCTTTATATTGATGACCTTTTGGTGATAGGAAGTAATGAATTACTGGTCGAAGGATTCAAACAAGAAATGATGAATGTGTTTGAAATGACCGATCTTGGTCTTATGACTTGTTTTCTTGGAATGGAGGTCAAGCTACGCCAGAATGAAGTCTTCATATGCCAAAAGAAATATGCAAAGAAAATATTGAAGAAATTTCAGATGAAAAAGTGCAAAGCAACCAGCACACCAATGAACCAAAAGGAAAAGCTAAGCAAGAATGATGGGACAGATAAAGTTTATGAAGGATATTTTAGAAGCATGATTGGATGCTTAATATATCTTACAACAACAAGGCCTGATATTCTATTTGTTATAAGTCTCTTATCTCATTTTATGCATGGTGCTAGTGAATTACATTTAAGAGCAGCAAAGAGAATATTAAGGTATGCTAAAGGGACTGTCAGCTATGGGGTCAAATTTGATAAGTGTTAAGGCTTCAAGTTATATGGATTTTCAGATAGTGACTAGGCTGGTTCCCTTAATACTATGAGAAGCACTTCAAAATATTGTTTTAATCTTGGTTCTGGAGTTTCTCTTGGTGTTCAAAGAAGCAGGAGATTGTAGCACAATCCATGGCTGAAGCAGAATTTATTGCAACCACAGCAACAGTAAACCAGGATCTATGGCTTGAAAAAATCTTAAGTGATTTGTAAATGGAGAAAAGAGAACCAACAGAGATTTAAGTAGACAATCAAACTACTATTGCAATCTCTCATAATCCAGTATTTCATGGGAAGACTAAACACTTCAACATCAAGCTTTATTTTTCATGGGAGGTGTAGAAAAATGGTGATATTAAGTTAATTTATTACAAGTCTAAAGATCAACTTGTTGACTTATTTACCAAACTACTTCCAGTAAATAGGTTTGAGTATCTAAGAAAAATGTTAGGAGTTTGCACTTCTTAAAGCAAGAAGTGTTGAAGTTTGCTTCAAGATGCTACGGTCAAAGATCCTGTTTTTGGTTTACATTTTCCTGCAATAATAATAGCTTGTCCTAGTCATTAGAAATTTGTTAATATGTTAGTTTGTTAACATATCATGGTTTTATTTTAGCTTTTTCAGTTGTAATTTGCTCCTATAAATATGTATGAGATTGCTATCAACAATTAAGCAATTCTATTTTAATTCATTCTTAATAAAAAAGTGCAGTATCAATATTCTGCAATAATAATAGCTTGTCCTATTCTCTTGTTTTTCAAACACACCTCAAACTCTAGCAACTACAAGAAACATTTTCGTCAAATTTCTTGCTAATAAAATAGTAAAAATAGCCACTGTTCAAATTAAAATTTGGAAATCTTATTTATTGTTTCACTATTTTTAATTCAAACTCTTTCACTCCCCGACAAGTGATTGTTAGAGAGGTTCAAGTAATCCAGAAAATTTAGATCAGCCATCGTGATAGGAATTACTCCTGATAATTAGCTTCCTGACAAATCAAGTGATTCTAACTGTTTCAACTGCCCAATCTTTTGAGGGATAGCACCAGTCAAATTATTTCCCGATAAGTTCAGTCCAAGCAACTGTAAGACTCCTGTTATTTCTTCTGGAATTTCACCTATTAATTTATTTCTTGCAAGATTAATGATCCTCAAAAGTCCTAGTGTGCTTTCGTAGTCATCCTCTCTTCCTTTCCATTCAACCCTGATCTTGTTATGATATGTACCAGAGCGGTGTGATACACTGATAATAGCATTATTCCCATTGAGAAATCGTGACTCTGTTTTTTGAACCATGGAAGTGAGGTTATTGAGGCACTATGGAATGATTCCTGAGATGTTGTTTAGAGATAGTTCCAAGATCAGAATATTTGATAGGAGACAGATTTTGCGGTATGCTTCCATTGAAGCCGTTAGACTGTAGAGAAAGGACTTTCAGGGATGGCATGCTTTCTCCTATCCATTCTGGTATTTCTCCTTGCAACTTATTTGTACTCAGGACTAAAAATACAAAATAATTACAATTCCTTAAAGACAATGGTAGTTCTCCAACAAAGTTGTTATTGTGCAAACTCAATGTTTCAAGATTGAACATTGATCCAATGGAGCTGGGAATTTTACGTGAAAAGTTGTTGCTGGCCAAATTCAGAATACCTAGACTTGTGAAATTCATTAAACAATCAGGAATCCATCCCGTCAACAGGTTATTTGGGAGGTCAAGGACACTGAAGATATCACTTCCAATATTACATAGAAAAGAAGCTGGACCTGAAAACTTATTGCTAGAGAGATACAAGGTTGATGCGGTATTTGATGAAAAAAGTGGTAATGGACCCTCAAACTGGTTGGAACTCAAATCTATGTGTCGGAGATTGGAATATTTTGATGAGAAATCTGGCAAAATTCCACTAATCTTGTTGTGAGAAAGGTCTAAGTATTCCAAGTTGGAATTGGACAAGTTCCAAAACCAATTAGGGATTGTATCTGAAATTCTCATGTTCGAGATATGCAGCTTCACGAAATTATTTTGATTTCGCAGCCATTGAGGGAGGACCCAAATTACAAGATGAAAGAAATATACCTAACAATTGGAAAGAAGGGGCCCAGTTAGACTCAAATTTCAATGCTAGGGAGTTATCAGTTAAATCCAATACCGTTAATTTGGAGAGATTTGAAAAGTGAGCTTTAGACATCACACCTTGCAGGGAATTCCATCCAACATGCAATTCCTCGAGCTGAGAAAGGCTTCCAATACTTTCAGAAACATTCACATCTAAGCGATTGTTAGCAATCACCAACTCTCTCAATGATGAAAGCATCGTAACATCCGTAAGCGATCCAGTGAGTTGGTTGTCATTCAAGTACAAGAAAACAAGTTCCGAACGTTGACTAAATCGTTTCGGTAAAGATCCATTCAGTTGATTCCGAGAGAGATCCAGCTCTGTCATGGAAGTGAATCTTGTGATGTCAGGCACTGAACCATGAAGCTGATTTTCGTCTAGTTTTAGAATCTCCAGTGATTTCTCCACGCATCCATGCGAGTCTTGAAACAACTAGACAGCTCTCCAGTGAGATTGTTTTTTCTTATATACAGTGCATTTAAACTGCACATACGCCCAAATGAACTCAAATCGCCTTGTAATTGGTTAGAGGATAGATCAAGAGCTCTAAGAGAAGTCATGTTTGTGAAAGCATCTGAAATTGAACCTTGTAATTGGTTAGAGGATAGATCAAGAGTCCCAAGAGAAATCATGTTTGCGAAAGCTTCTGGAATTGAGAGCCTTGTAATTGGTTATTTGAGAGGTGAAGATCAACAAGGCTGTTACTAAAGTTGGCCAACCAATAAATTATTGAAGATGTAAGCTGGTTATCAGAGAAATCAACGACAGCAAGAGATTCAGAGGAGTTTACAAGAGAAGGAGATGTAGGACCGATAATTGAAAGACTACAAGAACTTAACCTCAATTCATGTAAGCGAGGGAGATTGTAAAGCACCTGCAGCCAGTCAATAGTCTGACTAAGGTTATTGCCACTCAGGTCAAGATATTCAAGAGAAGACAAGAAAGTCGATTAAGGTTTACAGAACTGGTAGCCCACCTAAGATTAAGATCCACAAGGCTGTTACTGAAGTTGGACAACCAATTGAATGTTGAAGAAGCAAGATAGTTTTGAGAGACATCAATGACAGCTAGGGAATTAGAAGAATATGTAAAAGAAAGAGAGAGAGGACCGCTATTTGAAAAAAATCACATTCACTTCGTTTATTTATTAAAAAGGAGTTTTAAAAAAAAATTCAGAAAAATAAATTATTTTATGATATTTGATAATGTAATGAAAAATAAGATGAAAAATATTTTCTAGTATTTGATTATATCATAGAAAATGAACTGGAAATAACTTATTAATATTTTATTTTTCTCAAATTTATTAAAATAATGAAAAACAAATCTTACAAATTAAAAAGTTGAATGATAATGAAATTAAAAAAATATAATTTATTAAATTAACTTAAATAAAATAAATAATAATCAAAATAATAGAGATCAAATCTAAAAAATAAAAAAAAATGAAATATGAAGAAATTAAAATAAGAATAATTAACATTTCATAAATTATTTCAAATAAAATAAGTAACAATCAAAAGAATGAAGATCAAATTTGATAGATTAAAACTTTTAATGAAAAAACAATACGGGAAAAGCAAATAACAATTATAAAAATGAGGAGCAAAGTTAATATAAAAATTAAATTTAAGAGATGAAATTAAAAAATAAATATTCAAAACAAAATATATATATATATATATATATATATATATAACAATCAAAAGTTTGAGGACCAAAATTAATATAATCAGCAAATAATATGATATTTTTAAATTTTTTATAAATTCTAAAAAATGTTTTCCGTCCAAATTTTCCAGGAAAATACTTTACTAGAAACCAAGCCAAATTTTTCTTTGACTGGAAAGTATTTTTCGTTGATCAACTTTTCTAATGATAAACAAATACAGGAAAGTTTGGAAAGTGATTTTCCAGAAACCACTTTTCGGGAATCAAACATGACCTTAGGCAAAAACCATTTACTGTTTCCAAAGTAAATATTTGTTTTCAACTTTTTTAATGACAAACAAATAGGATTTATTTGTTTTTGTGTTTTAAAAGTAGTTTTTAAAAAAATATTTTAAATTAAATTTATTTATTTATAGATTATTTTGATATGGTAATATCAAAAATAATTTTAAAAATAAAAAAAAAAACATGTTATTTTAAAACTTTACTAAACAAAAGAATTAAAAAAAATCTACTATATCAAACATCCTCTAATTATGTGTGCCCCGTACTTTTGGGCAAAGACTTTTCAAGTCAACAGTGTTTTTAACAAGATGCCACGTGGAAAAAATAATTTCAATAGTTTAAATGTCTTATTTATCTTATTATGTGGTTTACATTTTCCAATTTATTTTTTCGTCTTAAAAGTGTTTAAAAATATTTTTTTTGTTTGTTTTAAATTAATATTTTTTATATTTTTATATCCTTTTGATGTGCTTATGTTAAAAATAATTTTAAAAAATAAAAAAAATTATTTTTATGTATTTTCGAGCAAAAAACACTTTGAAAAACAACTATTACTATAAAGAAAGGTATTTTGTATTGTAGTTGTGGGTATGGTTTACTCGCAGCTACAATTAGTAATATTTGGTAAGATAAAAAAATCAATTTTTTCTTTGTTGAACCCACTTGCAATGCATAGGTTTACAACTTCTTGTAAGGAATAAAACGTATGAACACTGGAGCATGCTCCACTGTTCATGGGCTTTATTCCTTGAACAGTGGAGCATGACTCCACTGTTCTGGTCGGATCAGTTCGGTTCAAAGCTATGAACCTGGTATGACCCAACAAAATAAAAAAATATATTTTTAATTGTGTTTTATTAAAAAAACTAGTATTAAATATTATTTAATGACACTACATAAATTAGACGAAGATCACTTGATAACGTAGTATTTGCAAAATTTGATTGCAATCCCAATTTTATTTCTGATTATATTTTACTTGATGTTGTTGCACTCTTAAAAAATTTGTAAAAAATATAGTTATTGTTGGATTTATTTCATACCTGATAAAATTATAGATAGTTTAATGGAATAAAAAAATATTTTATATAAAGTATTATTTATTTCATGATGTAATGGTAATAGTTAAATCTATAATATTTAAATTAAAAACCATCAATATTAATATATATTTTTTAAAATTATTTTATAACCTCAATTTTAAAAGCATTCGTAACCAAACACATTAAACTACTTTTTGGTCAACTTCAATTTTAACCACAGTTTTAACCAAACATATATTTTTTTTAAACTAATCTTCAACTAAAAGTACTTTTTATAAAATAATTTTTTTCAAACCACAATAACAACAGCAAATACAATACCAAACACTAGGCAAAAACCATTTACTGTTTCCCTAAAAGAATTTTATTTGGATATATTTGTTTTTGTATTTCAAAAATATTTTTTTATTTCAAATTATTTTGATGTGTTAATATCAAAAATAATTTGTTAAAAATAAAAAATATATATTATTTTAATATTTTTTTTAAAAAAAATCTCTACTAAATTACTAAACATCTCGAATTATATGGCCCCATACTTTAGGGCAAAAACTTTTCAAGTCATCGAATGTTTTCAAGAAGATGCATCAGCTTCCTAGTCATTTCCATTGACATCTAAGAAGATCAGCATTCCTCAATGGAAATTATTTATAGTTCTTTAGTTTGTGGGTTAGTTTTTCTTGCTTCATGTAGTCTAGCTGGGCAGATGCTGCTTGATTAGTTTCTAGTTCTTTTGTTAAGGTTTGTTTTCGGTCTATGTGGGAGTTTGTTGCCCTAGCTTTTTTTGTGTCTAAGAAAGCATGTTTTTTTTTTTTCCTGTTCGTATCTATATATTTTTTGATATGTTTATTTTTTATTTTTTTTTATTTGATTTATAATTTTTTTACATTTGATAAAAAAAAAATATCAAAGGGGGTATCGAAATAATAATTGAGAGCAATGAGAATTTGGTGGGAAATTTAACTTTGAATCCATTCACTTCACAACTTCCCTAAATATAATATCAAAAACACTATAAGAAAATTTAAAATTAAGTCATTAATTGTATAAGTCAAAAGGATATAATTTCTCTTATTTTTTATTATTTTATAATACTTAAAGTGTAACTAATAATACTTCCATAAACACAAAGGAAAGAGAGAAAATTAAAAAAAAAATTCAAACTTATTTTTTTATTTATCACTCTTTTGTCGTATCTCTCATGTATTATAAGTAGTGGTTTAATTTAAACATCATAGCAGAAAAATAAAATAAGTAAATAAAAAATATTTATTGACCAAAGCAGAGAAAGGATTAAAAACTTGAGGGAGCTAGAATGAACAGATAGTCTTGGATATTGATTTGAGTGTTGATGAAAAGTAGAAGATGCTACGTGTTCTGCAAATCTCCTTTAGCTTATTAGTAATTATAGAAAAAAATTATTTTTTTATTTTTGTTTAATTTTTTTCAAAAAATTATTTATAATATTTTTATTTTTTTCTATTTAATTAGTTTATAAATTATAAATAATTTCGTCCAACCCTCGGACATAGCACGACAAAATATACACGTCTACTAACCTTGTAGGCAAAAACCATTTACTGTTTCTCTAATTTTCTTTGGACATTTACTGAGAGTGCGCGCCCTTTACATTTGGGTAATGACTTTTCAAGTCATAAGTGCGTTTAAGAAGATGTAACGTGTAAAAAATAATTTTAATGGTTTAGATGTTTTTTTTATCTTATTATGTGGTTTATAGCCTTAGCCTCATAGGCAAAAACCAATTACTGTTTTCTAAAAAATAATTATTTGAATGTATTTGTTTTTAATTAATTTAATATATGTATTTATTTTGAATATTGTCTGATTTATTAAAAAATATTTTTAATAAAAAGTTCAGTAAACACAATTATATAAATATATTATCTTGTAAGATTAAAAGTTTTGGTTTATACCTTACTTTTGATTTTTCAGATTTTATTTTTAAATGTGATTAATAAATTTTTTCTTATTTATTAATTTATATATTTCTCTATTTATTTAATTATATGTTTGTATGAGTTTTTTATTTACATTTAAATACTTTTTTATATAAAAATACATTAAAAAGCCTACATGTATAATTTTTATTTTTTTTTGGAAGAAAAATTTTAATGGCTAGTGTGGTCTGTAGCCTGAACCTCACAGAAAATCCACGGATACAATGTATACGCAAAAACCATTTACTGTTTCTCCAAATTTCTTTCGACATTTTCTTGTGCGTGCCCCATACTTCTGGGAAAAGACTTTCAAGTCTTCCTGAGTGGAAATTATTAAGAGCTTCAAGTCGTCAATGGCCCTCACGTTTTCGCATTCCTTTCATGATAGACATTCTCTCCTGCATCAACTTATGTTCTGGGTGGAGACATTATAGCCATCTCTGTCATTTTTATTTCATTTTCTATGGAAACTGAATCTATTACTTGGTTTTTTCTTGTCGCTCTTTGTTACTTTCTTTTTAATTGCATTTATTGTTTCCATCTGCGAAGCACTTCAAATTGCTAGCCTAGCCGTATAGTTTAAGCAGATATATAAAGATTTCAGCACATATAGTAAGGAGGAAAACGTTGAAGTTTCTTGCTTCATATGAACGGGTTCGGACTCGGGATTGTTGGGGTTCAAACAGAAACTAGTTATCAGGTTTCGAACACAGCAGAATCCATGTAACTAAATCTGGCTTACCACATGAATCGTTGCATTAGGAATGGAGCTTTCTTAGAGACGAAAAGGAATTAAAAAAAAAAAAAAAAGGAAAAAAGGAGAAAAAAACCAAGTGATTTTACAAGATAAACTAGTTACTTTCCACAATCAATCTTACATTGATCCAAATAACTGTCAATGGTTGCACAAGTGATAGCCATATCTATGTCAAGAAGACCTCACTTGTTATTTTCAGGGATATAGATGTTTCCGGATCTCTTCAAAACACTATCAAGTTTCAAGACAG